TCAACTTGGAACTAAAAGGAAGGCAGAATGGCCCGGTGCGATTGAGGTGCCCGTGTTGTTTCCTGTGGAACGCAGTCGATGCATTTCTCTTATAGCTTTCCACGGATATTTCCGAAGTAGGTTTCAGCAAGGCACACACCAGCAACTTGGTGGGTAGACTTTGGGTCCTCAGTAAGGTGTGTGGGGACAACCATGTCCCTTCACTGTTGTCGTTAGGGGACTGGAGATTAAAACATGTGAAGAACGGTTGAAGGAAGGCTGTGAAAGTTGGACCACAAGAAAGGCTGAGCAACAAAGAATGGAGGCCTTTGAACTCTGGTGCTGGAGAAGACTCCTACGAGTCTCCTGGACTGCAAGGCGATCAAACTGGTCAGTCCTAGAGGAGATCCATCCCGGCTGCTCTTTAGAAGGCCAGATCCTGAAGTTGAAACTCAAGTACTTTGGCCAGCTAATGAGAAGGAAGGACTCACTGGAGAAGAGCCTACTGTTGGGAAAGATGGAGGGCAAGAGAAGAAGGGGACGGCAGAGAATGGGGTGGCTGGATGGAGTCACTGAAGCAGGAGGAGTGAGCTTCAAGGAACTCCAGAAGATGGTAGAGGACAGGAAGGCCTGGAGGAACGTTGTCCATGGGGTCATGATTAAAAACAACAAGACTAATGGAAAGGACTCGGGGTGACATGATAGCAGGGTTCCAGTATCTGAGGGGCTGCCACAAAGAAGAGGGGGTCACCCTATTCTCCAAAGCGCCTGAAGGCAGGACAAGAAGCAACAGATGGAAAATAATCAAGGAGAGAAGCAACCTAGAACTAAGGAGAAACTTCCTGATCATGAGAAGAATTAATCAGTGGAACGACTTGCCTCCAGAAGTTGTAAATGCTCCAACACTGGAGGTTTTTAAGAAAAGATTGGACAGCCATTTGTCTGAAATGGTATAGGGTCTCCTGCTTGAGCAGGGGGTTGGACTAGAAGACCTCCAGAATCCCTTCCGACCCTATTATTCTACGTCCTATAATTATCTGGGTACATTAACCTAAATTCTGATAAATTTGGCTGCTCCATCACTGGAGGCATTTAAGAAAAGATTGGACAACCTATTTGTCTGAAATAGTAGAGGGTCTCCTGCTTGAGCAGGGGGTTGGACTAGAAGACCTCCAAGGTCCCTTCCAACTCTTATTATTCTACTTTCTAGGTTCTAGACAAGAAATTCTGCAACGCAAGCTTTGGCTGCTTGGGCTCATTGAGCGAGGCCTATATACTTTTGGCTCTTTGGGAGGGACTGGTCTCCTGTAAATTTAGTTCCTTCGCCGTCCTCTCCAATTTCCCATCTTCTTTCCAGCCTTCCTTTAGACTCTTTAAGACTTTCGTGGGTCACAGTTGGTGACTCTGTGCTTATTTTTCTGCTGTCGGGGAAAAATGCCCCAGAACAGGGACTGAATCCTTCTCCCATTAATCAAAGCTAACAAGCTTTCTGTAGGGAGACACAAAAATCCCTATGTTTTCTCCCTTAGTGCTGAAGCAAGGTCAGCTGGAGGCCGGTGTGGGAGGGAGGGCAGGGGCCTGGTCCATCCCCCCCCCTCAACCTCACCTCTAGTTAGATTAACATTTTATTCAGAAGCCTATTTATCAAAGTCAAGAGCATAGCATAAAGTGGCACCAGAAAGGGGGGGGGGAGAAAAAGCCTGAGCAGACAAGACTTATCATATATTTTTTTTCTCTCTCCACCCATTTCTCTGGCTTAAATTTTGTCCCACAACCCCACAACCACAACTTGGTGAGTTTTGTATCTGACCCATCCTGGCTCCCATGAAAAAAAAATTCTCGATATTTCATATGGAGCGAAACAGCTGAGATCAAAAGCCAGATTAAGCTTCCCAAGGTGCTATGATTTAAATTTAACAGAGCGAAGAGTTGGAAGGGACTCTGGAGGTCTTCTAGTCCATCCCCCTGCTCAAGCAGGAGACCCTATAGCATTCCAGATCAATGGCTGTCCAACCTTCGAGACCGCCTCCTGCCGCAGATTACCCCCCATCGACCTGTACGCTCCCACAGAGTGGGTCTCCTCAGGGTGCCGTCGGCCAGACAGTGCCGGCTGGCGACTCCCAGGGGGAGGGCCTTCTCTGTGGGAGCTCCCACCCTCTGGAACGAACTGCCCCCAGAGATCAGGGTGATCCCTGATCTCCCTTCCTTCCGCCGCGCCTTTAAGACATGGTTATTCCAGCTTGCAGGACTGGCCTAGGGGAAATTTTTAGAGGGGGTTTTAATTATATTTTAATTAGATCACAGTTAAATATTTCCTTTTTAATTAATTTTTAAACTTGTAATGTCATCTGTGTATTTTTACTTGATTGTTAGCCGCCCTGAGTCCGCAAGGAGAAGGGCGGGATATAAATTTAATTATTATTATTATTATTATTATTATTATTATTATTATTAATAATAATAATAATAATAATAATAATAATAATAATCTCGTCTTTAAAATCTTCAGTGTTGGAGCTCCCACAACTTCTGGAGGCAAGCTGTTCCACTGGTTAATTATTCTCGCTGTCAGGCAATTTCTCCTTAGTTCCAGGTTGCTTCTCTCCTTAGTTAGTTTCTATCCATTCTTGTCCTGCCTTCAGGGGCTTTGGAGGATAGGTTGACCCCCTCTTCTTTGTGGCAGCCCCTCAAATATTGAAACGCTATCATGTCACCCCAAGTCCTTCTTTTCATTAGTCTAGACATATCCAATTCCAGCAACCGTTCTTCATATGCTTTAGTTGAAGTCTACAAGTCATAAAAGGGCCAAGTTTGAAGACCCCTCTGTATTACAGGATATATATTATAGCAGGATATATAATATAAATATATATATATATACAGGATATATATTATTTTCTTTAAATATATATATATATATAATACCGTGCCGGTGACAGTTGTTCTATTGTATTCACGAATGGAGAAGTTCTATAATTTTTCTTGTCTAATCTGCAGATGGTTGGTTGCATACATTATTTGTATTAATAAAATACCAAAATTATCTTTGAGAAAGTAGGGAAATAAACCCAAGAAAATCCCACTCTTTATGCAAATTGGATTTTGTACAGAATCGAAGTAGGCGGGTTCTGTAACAGAGCCATCGTCTCAGAAATAAATCTCTTTTCTTCTTTGGCTGTGATGGAGAGAAAGAAGTTAACATTTGTTCTGGGAAGGGAAGACATCAATTTGCTAACCTAACCGTGAAAGAGCAGAAAACAAAGTTCAGTGGGGCTTGTGCGCCCTCTTGTGGGGACAGAGAAAATAATTTTCTGGAACTGAGATTTAAAAAAATATATATTATTTTTTAAATCAAATTGGCGTACATTGAAAAAGAGGGAGAGAGAAAGAGAGACATTGAGCAACACAAACTTCCTTGTGTTGTTAGAAAGAAAAAAAGCTTGTGGGACGATAGGTTTTTGAAGAGAAGTCCAAATCATCTCTCTCTCTCTGCTGAGTAATCTCTTTAACCTACATAATAAAAGAGTGAGAAGGGACCTTGGAGGTCTTCTAGTCCAACCTCCAGCTCAAGGAGGAGATCATGTACCATTTCAGACAAATGATTGTCCCATGTCTTCTTAAAAACTGCCCGTGAGTTTTTTAAAGAGGTTTAATAACTGAATTTTAGCAACTGGAGATTAAAAATTGAGGTTTAATAACTGAACTCCAGACTGGAGGGGAAGAAGGACCACATTAGTACGTTGAAATAATAATAATAAAAAAAGCAACAAGTATCGCCTGGCATTTAACAAAGTAAAAGAACACGGAAGGATTATACACAACTGGGACCAGAATGGCTTTTATAATAATAATAATAAAGTTGGAAGGGACCTTGGAGGTCATCTAGTCCAACCCCCTGCTCAGGCAGGAAACCCTGTACCATTTCAGACAAAGGGCTGTCCTTTCTCTTCTTAAAAACTTCCAGTGTTGGAGCATTCACAACTTTTGTTAGGCAAGGCAGTTGTTAAAAGAGCTGCCCCCGCTTTTACAACCTTTTTCTTTGTCGCGGCCGTTAACCGAATCACTAGTCATTAAGTGAATTGTGCGGTCAGTTAAGAGAATGTGGCTTTTCAGAAATGGCTGAGAAGGTCATCAACAGTGATCATTTGAGCCTGGGATGCTGCAATTGTCACAAATATATGCCCACTTGCCGAACGCCCAAACGTGGATTACGTGACCATGGGAAGGCAGTGGTGGAACTGCGAGGACCAGTTGTAAACTACTTTTCCAGTGTAATTGTAACTTCAAATGGTCACTAAATGAATTGTTGTAAGTCGAGGACTACCTGCACATAATAGGGGGCATCAGACAGTCTTGGGCGCGAGGGGGCTCAATCACGAGCCCCCAAACCATTTTTTTTTCAATTATAGGAAGAGTCCACAGAGTTTAAGTATGAAATGGTGGTCCAGCAAAAAGCCTCTTCCATTTTGTCGTTCTACAGTTATGTTTATCCATCCCAAATGTTCTGCGTAGAACAGGGGTCTTCAAACTTGGCCCTTTGGTGACTTGTGGACGTCAACTCCCAGAATTGGGAGTGCCTGGCTGAGTAATTCTGGGAGTTGAAGTCCACAAGTCATCAAAGGGCCATGTTTGAAGACCCCTGGCATAGAAGCTTCTTCTTCTTCTTCTTCTGAACGAAAAAGCAAGCATCTTCCAAGGTCCAAGGTTCTCCAGGAAATAAGGCAATTTGGGGGAAAGGCTATTCCTATCCCGTAATCAATCCATCAATCCTGTCCCAAAGGTGCTTTTTTTTTTTTTCAAAAGGCAACTGGACTTTCTTAGTTTGTTTCCTGGAAGACATTTCGCTTCTCATCCAAGAAGCTTCTTCAGTTGAAGCAGCAGCTTCCTGGAACGAAAGAAACGTCTTCACAAAACGTCTTCACAAGGAAAAAACAAAACAAAACAAGAAAGTCCAGTTGCCTTAAAAAACAAAAAAGCAGCTTTGGGACAACCATGACCTGGAAGACGGAGACTCTCCACAGACATCAGTCAAGGCTGCTCTTACGAGCGTTTTCCCACGGATCCGTATTCTCATAAAACTCCACCATTGTCCTCCTGGCTTCCTTGGCTATCCGCTGGAACCGGCAGATGTAGAAAACCACAAGGAGGAGCAAGATGGCCTGCACCAGGAGGAAGACGAAGAGGCAGATCTGGGCCACCAGAGCCACGCCGCAGTACCAGGACTGGCAGGTAGAGAGGATCTCGTCTTCGGACAGGTAGGTGATAATCCGACCTTGAAGGTGGGCGGGGCTGGAACACACCACGTCGCGATACAGAGTGCGATTCTCTTGCCACTGCAGCCAGGAGCGCAGGTAGAGAATGTGGCAGGTGCATTCCCAAGGGTTCCCCCGCAGGTAGACAGCCTGGAGGTGGTGCAGGTTGTCAAAGAGGCCTTTGGGGATGAAGGTCAGGTAGTTGTTGTTGAGATAGAGCTTGGTGGTTGAGGAGGAAAAGGAGAGGGGGATCATGTCGTCGCTGAGATCGGTTGACATGCAGTCAATGATGTTGGCGGCACAACGGCAAGGGCGGGGACAATCTGGGGTGACAAGAGGCAGCAGGCCGAGGGTGAAGAAGAAGCTGACGAGACTCATCTTCTGCTCTGAAAGAGACAGAAATTGTTAACTAGAGCCCAGGTAGAATAGAATAGAATAGAATAGAATAGAATAGAATATGGATAGAATAGAATAGAATAGAATAGAATAGAATAGAATAGAATAGAATAGAATAGAATAGAATAGAAAGGATATAGAATAGAATAGAATAGAATAGAATAGGAAGGATATAGAATAGAATAGAATAGAATAGAATAGAATAGAATAGAATAGAATAGAATAGAATAGAATAGAATAGAATAGAATAGAATAGAAAGGATGAAGAATAGAATAGAATAGAATAGAAGCTGGAAGGGACCTTGGAGGTCTTCTAGTCCAGCCCTCTGCGCAAGCAGGAGAACCTATACCGCCTCAGACAGGTGAATGTCTAGTCTCTTCTTAAAAATCTCCAGTGATGGAGCGCCCAGGATTTATGGAGGCAAACTGTTCCACTGGTCCTCACTGTCAGGAGTTCTAGGTTGCTTCTCTCCTTGAATAGATCTGAGATCAGTTAATCAGAATAGAGCTGGAAGGGACGTGGGAGGTGTTCTAGTCCAGCCCCCTGCTCAAGCAGGAGATCCTATACCATCTCAAACAAATGACTGTCTAGCACCTCTTCTTAAAAACCTCCAGTGATGGAGCGCCCACGATTTCTGGAGGCCAGCTGTTAATTATCCTCACTATCAAGAAGTTTCTCCTTAATTCCAGGTTGCTTCTCTCTTTGATCAGTTTCCACCCATATAACTGAAACCAGTTGAGGACTTACCTCTGTCTGGAGCGTCTCTCTGGAATGAGACACGAAGGACAACTGACTGGCAGAGCAAACATCAGCAGAAATAGAGTTGATAACCTCCATGTGTGTTCCAGAAAGATAACAAGAACGCTTCTTCTCCTTAGTCATTCTGTGGCAATCCCTGGAAGCTGCCCTCTGTCGGGGACTTTATTTTTAAACTGGCATCTCTGAGTATCACATCTGGAAAAGGCTCAAATGCAAGCAAGGTTGTAACAAAGCCTCTTGATGGGAGTCCAGGAACTGTGTAACATCTTGGTTATTCACTTCACGGCTGAATTAATTTAACAACTTCCCAAGTGCAGGCAGGACATTGGCCCATAAAACAAACTGATGAGTTGCCTCGGACGAGGCATCCCCAAAAGATGCTAACCGGACTTAAACTAACCAGGTTTAATGGGTTCTGGAAATGGGGTGATGGTTCTATCATTGTCATGAGCTCACTAATGCAATTCTGCAAATATTGAGGAGAAAATTCCACTGTATCTCAGGTGGAAATTTAAGAATCCTGGGGTTTACTCCTATGCCCATGGACCCCTACAATTTCCATGTCTCTGCTTGCAAACTGTCTCCAACACGGCTTATTATCACGCCCAGTAATAATACTACTACTAATAATAATACTAATAATAATAATACTACTAATACTAATACTAATACTAATAATAATAAAGTTGGAAGGGACCTTGGAGGTCATCTAGTCCAACCCCCTGCTCAGGCAGGAAACCCTATACCATTTCAGACAAATGGCTGTCCAAACTCTTCTTAGAAACATCCAGTGTTGGAGCGTTCACAACTTCTGGAGGCAGGTTGTTCCACTGATAAATTGTTCTTACTGTCAGGAAATTTCTCCTTAGTTCCAGGTTGCTTCTCTCCTTGATGAGTTTCCATCCGCTGCTTCTTGTCCTGCCTTCTGGTGCTTTGGAAAATAGGTTAATCCCCTTTTTTGTGGCAGCCCCTCAAATATTGGAACCCTGCTATCCTGTCACCCCTGGTCCTTCTCTTCATTAAACTAGACCTACCGAATCCCAGCAACCGTTCTTCATATGTCTTAGCCTCCAGTCCCCGATCATCTTTGTTGCTCTTCTCTGCACTCTTTCTAGAGTCTCAATATCTTTTTTACATTGTGGTGACCAAAACTGGATGCTGTATTCCAGGTGTGGCCTTACCAAGGCATTATAAAGTGATATTAACACTTCATGTGATCTTGATTCTATCACTAGCTATATCCAGCTATTGTAGTTTGCAAGCCATGTTTACGGTGTGTGATTGCAACCCAATTTGGTGATTAGTCCAACTATCTTTAAATGGTGGTTCAGTATGACGGACAAACCCTAGTAATGAATCAAGGCAGCTCAAAAGGTCTAAAATGATACTTCAAATGGTAACCAGATGTTAATGAGTTTATCTTGCAGATAATCAAAGCCCTCCCAAGATGGATGGGTAGAAAGTATCAGAGCAACAGGTAAACTGGGCAGAAGAGAAGGGTGAAAAATTCAACGTCTGATTTTGAGCAATCGTCAACCAACCTGATAGAGCGTTTAGGTTAGTAATTGTGTCAAAATGAGTTACAACGAACAGGCAGTGTGGTGTAGCGGTGAAAGTCTTGGATGAGGAGTAAGGTTCAAGTCTACTATTAGATCCAGAGATTGATTCCCTCTGAGGGAAAAGGTGCTTTTTCAAGAGGCAACTGGACTTTCTTGTTTTGCTTTGAAGACGTTTCGCTTCTCATCCAAGAAGCTTCTTCAGCTCTGACTGGATGGTGGGGAATGGAAGGATTTATATTCCTTCCTCCAAGTGGCCTCAACGGCTCTCTAAAAATGGAAATGATCAGCTGTCTGCAAGGAGTATAAATCCTTCCATTCCCCACCATCCAGTCAGAGCTGAAGAAGCTTCTGGAATGAGGTGAAATGTCTTCAAATAAAAGTAAGGAAGGCCAGTTGCCTCCTGAAAAAAAAAAGCACCTTTGGGACAATCATGAGCTGGATGACTGAGAATCTCCATAGTTATTCCCACTGATCTTTTGAGCCCTCACTCTCAGCCCCAAAGCCAGGATAGTCCACGGCTGAAGATTCTGGATTAGGAATAGGGAGATTCAACCTTCTGGACCATCCATGACCATAAATGGGGAGATATGGAGGCCGTTCCTCCTTCTCCGCCCCTAGAAAACCTCCAAGGTCCCTTCCAACTCTTTTATTCTGTTCTGTTAAATAAATTTATAGAGACGCTCCCGCCGTTGTGAAACGGCCTCTCCTTCAACGATCAACTTCAAGCCACAAAAAGGACAAATTCACAATGTGTTGCCCCCAGATGGGGGAACCGTTCTGGCCAACAACAGCCAAACCTTTCCTCTGTTAGATGCCCAGGAACCAACATCCCAGATTAGAACTCTGCCCTGAAGGAAGAGCAAAAAAAAAATGGCCACGTCTTGTGATAAAAACACGCCACGAAAAGGATAACTGGCCTCTGGGTGAGATTTGAAAGTCTCAGAACCAAATGGAATATAGGTGGTTCTCAAGTTACGTCCCTAAGGGAGCCTGCTTGTCAGATAAGTCAATTTCGCGATCTTTTTTCAAGGGGACATTAAGCAACCTTAGTGGTCGTAAAGTGAACGCCACGGTCGTTAAGCAAAACCAACGGTCCACTATGGACGCGGTCTGGCCGAAAAGCAGAAGAAAAGGCAAAAGTGTTGTAAAATGGGGTCATGTGACCGAAGGGAGGGAGTAACTTCAAATCCAGGTTGTAAATTCCCCCCCCTCAGAACTTTGAATGGTTGCTAAGCAACCGGTCTAATTCGGGGCCTACCTGTAAACCCCAAGCTCCTCAGCCTGAAACGTTTCAAACAAATGACAATCTTATCCCCCCTAAAAGAATGGGGCACCAACAGGAATAGACCAAGGACCCCCACTCCTCTTTTCTCCTTCTGCTTTTGAAGGCGACATTATTTTTTAAAAAAAATCACACTAACCTATAAGAGATCTTCAAAAACCAGTTTTTTGGATGCGGATCAACAACAGAAACACAGTTCTGCTTTTTTTTCGTTTACTTCTTTTTGATCAGTCCGGGGAGTAGCAAACATTATATTAATATCCAATGGATCATCATCATTTTAATAAAACGGATATATTTTAAAAGGTCTTCGGATCACGACGACGAAATATCCCACCAAATATTTACAAAAAATGGAACGATGCACCAAGGAAAGCCGAACGCAAGGCCGCAGCCGGAGCGACAAAAGGCAGAATCAGCATTTGGAAAAAGGGGTGGAGGGGGGGGTGGGGGTGGGAGCAGCCCGAAAAAAGGAAGAAAAAAAAATCCACGGCACGAAGAATATTTCCCCACAAAGCTACTTTCTTTCTAGGAAAATAAATAAATAGAGGCATGCAAAGTGGGGCCAGAAAAAAAACAACAGCACGGATGTTGGGAGCACGGAGGGCTGATCACCGATCCTGGGTGCAAGTCAGCGCATAAGGACAGGCTTCATACACTCCCCTTGAAAGTGCGATGTAGCTAGGGACTCACACACACACACACCCCGAAAGACACACATACAGACACACACACGCACACTAATGCTGTTTTTGAACAATTTGGGTTTCAACCAGTGTTCCTTCAACCTTGGTGGCTTGGAGAGGGGTAGACTTCAACTCCCAGAATTCCTCTAATCAAATTAATTTGGGAATGAAATCAAATTTGGGTTGTTGTTGTTTTTTCAGTCTCCAAATAAGATCCTCTGGTTGAATTTGCAGCGGAGCGGATTTTAACCCAAGACACAGCTGCCCACTGGGGAGATGGAAAGAACCACGTTGCGTTCGTTCACAACGAAGAAAAATGTGAATTTTGAAGCAGCTCAGAACCCCCACACCCCCCAAAAAAAACCCAGTTGCAATTATTAACTTCTAAAAGGGACAGGAGAGGAAAACAATGAACATGTAATGGGAAAGTCATGTTATTGATGGCATTTTGTGCTGGCTGACAAGGGACTTGAAATCAAATTTGGGTTGTTGTTTTTTTCCAGTCTCCAAATAAGATCCTCCACTTGGGGGGAAAAAAAAAACCAACACATCGTGAAATGCTGAACGTAACACGGTTTGGTGAAGATGTGAGTGTGAGCGTGTCTTAATTTCTTATTTTAGAGTAGTTTGTTGGTGCGGGGAAAAATAAGTGTATCTTTTGTCAACAGGGCACAAAACTATTATTAAAAAAAAAAAAAGCATCCAGCTGGTTATATGCATTTCTGGAAGGGAGAGGGGATCCTTATCTCACTTCAACAGGCCAATGTGTTATCATTTCCTCTTGCTTAAAACACACACACACACACACACACACACACACACACAACAGAGAAACACAGAAAGCCAAAAAAAAGGCTTTGCAGCACCAAGTTGGCCAGAAAAAAAAAAGGAGGAGAATACGAGGAAGAAGGGAAAGTACTTAGCATTTTGGATTTTAAAGCAAAATGGGATATACAGGGACGTAGGGACATTTAACACAGCCTGTTTGCAGCCTTTCAAAGCAGCTGCTTCACTTTCTGGATCGCACAGCCGTAGAAGGAATGGACTTGAATTAGTTTTCCTTATTGGATTTTTGCTGACAAGGAGCATCAGATGAAGCTTATGGATATTTTTTTCCCTTAAGAGATGGAACTATGGAAAGGGAGACGAGAGAGATTATTAGGTTATATTTAGAGATGCTGACAAGCTAAGAATTATTATTATTTTTTTACTTGCTAGGGTAATGGGGCAGTTGTTCTTTTTCTGTTTTTCCTTTTTTCCCCTCCCTTTTTTTTTTGTACACTGGGTTTCTTTTTTGTTTTTTTCTTAAGAGATGAATTGGGGGGGGGGAGAGAGATCAGATTGTATTTGAGATGCTGACAAGCTATGAATTAATTTAATTTTTTGTACAGGCTGGGGTGATGAGGAAGTTACTCCTTCCATTTTCCTTTTTTCTTCCCTTTTTTTGGCTCACTTGCTTTCTTTTCGCCTTTTTCTCTTCGTATTGCTCATCCTCGGTATTTGCTCTTATTTAATTTATACGTCTTCATAAAATTATTTGGGAGGGGAAACTACAAAACCCACGATGCACCAACAAACCGAGCTTCTCATACAGGGAGTATTTTTGCATCGAAACAAAAAAAAAATGACTGAGCTTCAAAGGAGTCCCAAAACAAACTCTTGGTTCAAGTTTTGTTCCTGCCCAGTGGGAATTGGGACACCCTGCAAAGATATTACTTGGGGGAAAGAATCTACCGAGCAACTTAAAGAATCAATATAGAACTTTATCGGTGGATCCTGGTTTTTTTTTTTTTTCTATGTCTGGCAAAAAGGGAAATATAGAGTTGTGTGCAAAGACAAAAGGCAGACTCTCAAAGTACAGATGCAAAACTTGGGTCAGTTGGAAAAATCAGCCAACTAGGGAGAGATAGGCCGTTTAAAGAAAAGACTCACACAACTTTGCATTCTGACCCACAAAACGTAGTTCACACCTTCTTCCACCCTGCCCAGAAAGGCCTTGCATTTTTTCAGAGAGTAGAACAGGGTGGAGAATCAACCAGGAATGAAGACCGCCATCCAAAGCCTTTCCCCCAAAAAACACAGCCACCTTTCTGCTCCTTATCTCAAAACAGGCAGGGAAAGAACCAACCTTTTCCCAAGCAAAATCAAATCTGCCTGGGAAGTCTCACAAGCATTTTGTTCAGATATTCGTAAGAATGTCATTCCCCCCCCCTCCCCAGCACAAAAAGGGCAGGTGTTAAGAAAGGGAGGGGGAGGAATGAAAGAAGAGAAGGCGAGGAAGAAGGAGAGGAAGGAAGTCATACAGCACCGTGGTTAGTAGTAAACATTTAACGTGCACGTTCACAGAGTCCTCACATCTCAATACGACCCCAGAAATTTTTCATTTAAATACTAGAATGCTCTCGGGAGAAGAGTTTAGTACACCTGTTCTGAAAGAACAGAGGTTCTTCCCCATCTTGAGGACATGTTGCAAGGCCGTTCAAACAGCTTCGGAGGGAGAAGGTGGGATGGCGTCTCTCGCTCGCAAGTCTCTTCGCTCGTTTGGTTCGTAGGAAAAGATTTCCTGAAGCAGCTTCCCAGGCAGATGGACCCAAGGGTGGTGCAAAACACCCCCGTCGCTCCCTTCATCCTGGTTTCGTCTTAATGCTCTTGAATTTGCTGTTGCATTTTCTGCAGCATCTCCTGCATTCTTCGCAGCTGCGGAGAGATAAGGAAGAAGGGGTTAAAAAAAAAAAAGGGGGGGGAGGTTGTCACCGTTTTTGTTTAAAAATAAATAAAGGAAGGAAGACCAAACTTTGTTGATTCATCTTCCGCTCATCTCCAAGCCCTGTGAAGGGCTCTCCCTTAAGGCAAGGGCTAAAAATATCTTTCGGGGAATTTGATTCCCAGACGGCTGGATCGATGCTTGGTTTTCGGAACCGAATCGTAAAATTGAATAGCATCCTCCCATCAGATCCTTTTTAAGATTAAATTAGTCGGTTCCGTTCAGAATGGAGAAAGAGCTTTTTCCGAATCAATTGCAAATCCAAATCAAATGGAGAAAAATCAGTTGTTGGTGTTCTCTGACTATGGTGGTCTGCTTGCAGACGTTTCGCTACCTGACTAGGTAACATTATCAGTGCTAGGGAGTGTGGAATTGCTCCCTGTTTATATACGGTTACATACAGTTGCTTGCCCCACCACTGATGATGTAGGGGTGGTGTGTTCTCCTTGGTGATTCCTTGATTAAGGCATTGTTTTCTGTTTGATTGTTTGTCGGGTGTTAATCCCTGCTTATCTGGGTGTTGGTTACTGGAGAAAATGTGTTCTGCTCTTTGGGTTTTCTTAGCTTTATTATGTCTTTGGAGTAGTAGTAGTAGTAGTAGTAGTAGTAGTAGTAGTAGTAGTAGTAGTAATAATAATAATAATAATAATAATAATAATAATAATAATAATAATAATAATAATAATAATAATAATAATAATAATAATAATAAAGTTGGAAGGGACCTTGGAGGTCATCTAGTCCAACCCCCTGCTCAGGCAGGAAATCCTATACCATTTCAGACAAATGGCTGTCCAGTCTCTTCTTGAAAACCTCCAATGATGGAGAACCCATAACATCTGGAGGCATGTCGTTCCACTGATTAATTATTCTAACTGTCAGTAAATTTCTCCTCAGTTCCAGGTTGCTTCTCTCCTTGATTAGTTTCCATCTGTTGCTTCTTGTCCTGCCTTTGGGTGCTTTGGAGAATAGCTTGACTCCCTCTTCTTTGGGGCAGCCCCTGAGATTTTGGAAGACTGCTATCATGTCCCCCCTCAACCTTCTCTTCATTAGACTAGACCTACTGAATTCCAGCAACTGTTCTTTATATGTTTTAGCCTCCAGTCCCCTGATCATCTTTGTTGCTCTTCTCTGCACTCTTTCTAGAGTCTCAACATCTTTTTTACATCGTGGTGACCAAAACTGGATGCTGTATTCCAAGGCCTTGTAAAGTGGTAAAGTATTTACCGGTGGTTAATTTCTACGTCTCTGTTGATGCTAATCAATATTGTTGATGGCTGATAGTTACTTAGTTGGGAAACATCTGCAAGCAAACCACCAAGCTCAAAGAAGCACCAAGGACTCCACAGTTTAACCCTGAGCTAAAATCTTCTCTGTTATTGAGGTAATAGTCATGACCTACGACCATAATGGGCAGATTCCATTACGGTCATAACTCAAGGACTACCCGTATTTAAAACAGCATCTCCAGCAGCTCACCTCTTCGTCCTTCATCTTGATCAGCTTCTCCGTCTCGGCATCTGGGGTCGGAAGTGGCAAGATGGGAATTGGACTTTCTATTCGGTTGTCCTGAGTCAGTTTGCTGAAAAGGAGGATTTAAATTTCACTTCTGTAAATCAGCCTCAGTTCTTCCCTGCTTTCACTGAAGCAACGACGTCAAAAAGTAAACCATTTTGAAGCCTCAGCTATGACTACGAAGGAGGTTGAAGGCCTCCAAGGTCCCTTCCAACCCCATTATTCTATGTTCTAAGTCAGGGGTCTTCAAATTTGGCCCTTTTATGACTGGTGGACTTCAACTCCCAGAATTCCTCAGCCAGGCACGCTGGCTGAGGAATTCTAGGAGTTGAAGTCCACAAGTCATCAACGGGCCAAGTTCGAAGACCCCTGTTCTAAGTCTTGGTGCACCTTCCAACCTTCATGAGTTGATGCCAAGGGCGGACTCAGACATACCTGTCCATATCTGACCGATCAGGAAACTCACCTGGTCATCTGTTGGATGCACTGTGCCCGATAGTTCTCATAATGAACGTCACAAGTTACATCTTTCAGGTCATGCATATGGGTTCGGATCAGCATGTTGCGTAGCTTCACGAAGTCACAGTGTGCTTGGTTCTCCACTAGGGAAGCAGAAAGACATCTTTCTGGAGTTGTGTGTGTGTGTGTGAACAACTCAACCCATCAATACATTAAAAAGAGTCCACTAATCAGTCTGTAGCGGAAAGACACCAGAGTCAACGAACAACGGGCAGAGAGATCTTCTCATCTGCCGTATTTCCCCGAAAATAAGACCCAACTGGAAAAGAAGCCCTAGCATGGTTTTTTTCAGGACGCTCGTAATATAAGCCCAACCCCAAAAATAAGCCCTAGTTAAGATGGTCAGCCAGATGGACGCATTTAGTACATATATCCCCCAAAATAAGACTTAATCGGAAAATAAGCTCTAATAAATTAATATAAGACCCGCTCTTATTTTGGGGGAAACACAGCATCACCTCCATGATAGATCTCCATCCACTAACAGTCCCCATCTCTAAAAGGACAAATGGGAACATCTACTAGCCTGATTGGAATATGTCGAGATCAACCAGCATCGGTTCTAACCCTAAATTGACCATCGCAGAAGCTCATAACTAAATCTTTCAGACTCTTTTGGCCTTCAGAGCTTCGTTGCTCCCAAATCTGGAAGTTTCACTTAGATCTCCAAGAAAATAGCTCAAGAGATCCTTGTGTTCCGAGGGTCCGTGTTCAAGTCAACTAGACGGCTTACCTTCCACAATGCCCCAGGGGTAGAGTCTTCCTCGGACCCTCTGCCCCTTGGCTTCGACCACCGTGTTGCTACCAATGACTGCAAAGGGTGCGCTCTCCTGGTGCAAACACAAGATGTGATGAGAAGTTAGGAGAACCGCAATCAAGAGAGATTGCCTACCCTGGACACCCATTAGAAAAGCTGCTCTTATTCTATTCTGCCCTTATTCTATTCTATTCTATTCTATTCTATTCTATTCTATTTCCATTCCGTATTCTATTCTATTCTATTCTATTCTATTTCCATTCCATATTCTATTCTATTCTATTCTATTCTATTTCCATTCCATATTCTATTCTATTCTATTCTATTCTATTCTATTTCCATTCCATATTCTATTCTATTCTATTTCCATTCCATATTCTATTCTATTCTATTTCCATTCCATATTCTATTCTATTTCCATTCCATATTCTATTCTATTCTATTTCCATTCCATATTCTATTCTATTCTATTCTATTCTATTCTATTCTATTCTATTCTATTCTATTCTATTCTATTCTATTNATAATAATAATAATAATAATAATAATAATAATAATAATAATAATAATAATAATAATAATAATAATTTAATTTATATACCGCCCTTCTCCCGCAGGATTACCTTAATGTAATCTATACTTGAGTCTCAGAATGACTTAGTTTTGCTCACCTTCAGTTCTCTATCTTGTTGCTTGAAGTCTTCATCTTCGTCAGAGTCGCATTCGGGAAACTGGTAAACTTTCATTCCAAACTTATCAATCTCTTCCCGGATCTGACAAAAACATTACCATTCAAATCATATTAGACTCCCCTGCATTGCAATGTATTCTTTGCCTAAGAGACATGGTAGCGCAGTGGTTAGAATGCAGTTACTGCAGGTTGACTCTGCCCATGGCCAGCAGTTCGATCCTGACCAGCTCAAGGTTGACTTAACCGTGAAAGCCAACTTTGGGTGACTTTGGGCCAATCCCTAGGAGACGCTGAGTTCTAGTCCCGCCTTCGCCACGAAAGCCAACTGGGTGACTTTCAGCCAGTTCCTCTTTCTCAGCCCAGCCCACCTCACAGGGTTGTCGTTGTGGGGAACATAAGAGGAGGAAGGCGTAATTAGTACGTTTGCCACCGTCAGCTCTTTATACAAATCATAAAGGTAGGAATAAAATAAAACAGTCTTTGGAAAAAAAGCAATTTTCTGCCCACCCGTTCTTTTAGCTTCTTGATCTCGGAGGGAACAAGGCAATCGGCTTTCGCAATGAGGGGGACGATGTTCACTTTTTCATGGAGCGCCTTCATGAATTCCACATCCACCGGCCTTAGTCTGCGGCACAAAAGGGGGCGAGAAGACAAAATCTCAGCTCGTCAGGTTGGCTTCTTAGAAACGAAGCTAGATGTGGTACTAGATAAATTCCCTCCCAGCTGAATTCCAGAACCAGACAGGACAGCAACTTGGATGTGACAAAGAGAAATCTAGTGTCAAGTTCAAGAAGTCAGGAAGCAGGACACAGTTCAAAAATGTACTACAAATCCCACTCCTTTCTAGCACTGATGATGTTACCTAGTTGGGTCATGAAATATCTGCAAGAAAACAAGCAAGCTCAGAGAATACTCAGGACCCCACAGTTGTCCTCCTACTCCTACTCCTCCTCCTCCTCCTCTCCCCCCCCTCCTCCTCCTCCTCTTAATCCCACTCCTTTCTAGCACTGATCATGGAGTAAAAGACTCCAGCACCTTCCCACCAGCAACCAGCACTCAGATCAGCCTAGATCAACTCCAAGGTCACCTTCAGACCAACATTCAAGTAAGCAATGCCCCAGTGCCACAGAGCCATTAGTAAACAGCCCAACCAAAGAATGCCTAAGATCGCTCCCACCCACCCAGACAGGCGAGACCCCAGAATATAAACCAACAGCAAATAGCAATCCTTCCTGACACTGATGATGCTACCTAGTTAGGGTAATGAAACGTCTGCAAGAAAACAAGGAAGCAGTCCTTCCTTCCTTCCTTCCCATAAATTCCACTCCCTTGTAGCACTGATGATGTTACCTAGTTTGGGTAATGAGATGTCTGCAGAAAATAAGCAAGTTCAGAGACCACCCAGGACCCCACAGAAAACGAGCAAGAAAACGAGCAAGCAGTCCTTCCTTCCTTCCTTCCTTCCTTCCTTCCTTCCTTCCTTCCTTCCTTCCTTCCTTCCTTCCTTCCTTCCTTCCTTCCTTCCTTCCCATAAATTCCACTCCCTTGTAGCACTGATGATGTTATCTAGTTTACGTCATGAAATGTCTACAAGAAAATAAGCAAGCTCAGAGAGCACCAAGGACCCCACAGTCGTCTCCTCCTCCTCCTCCTCCTCCTCCTCCTCCTCCTCCTCCTCCTAACCCCATCCCTTTCTAGTACTGATGATGTTACTTAGTTTGGGTCATGAAACATCTGCAAGAAAACAAGCAAGCTCAGAGAGCACCAGGACCCCACAATCCTCCTTCTCCTCCTCCTCCATTCTGCAAACCCCCCTTCCTTCTAGCACTGATGATATTACCTAGCTGGGTCATGAAACATCTGCAAGAAAGCTCAGAGAGCACCCAGGACCCCACAATCCTCCTCCTTCTCTTCCATTCTGCAAACCCCCCTTCCTTCTAGCACGGATGATATTACCTAGCTGGGTAATGAAACATCTGCAAGAAAACCACCCAGCTCAGAGAGCAACAGGGACCCCTCATTTCAACTCTGAACTACAAATCTCCTCCTTTATTGCCATGCTACCTACACAAGGCAAATTGGTGCAAGATAAGAGTCAACGGGCTTCAAGGGAGGTGGACTTAGGTGTGGTGTAGAGGCTCCAGGTGCATTTGACCTCGCCCTCAAACCCAGCCTGGTCGTCTCCTACAGCAGGGGTCTCCAATGCTGGCTGAGGCATTCTGGGAGTTGAAGTCCAACAAGTCTTAAAGTGGCCAAGGTTGGGGACCCCTGTCCTACAGCATAACAACTGTAGAAGCTGCATCCAACACTCGCCGCCATGGTTCGATCGTGGCCTTACCCGTGTCCAAACGGCGAGATAAAATAGAGGCAACAGTGAACGCGATTGTCTTGGATATTCTTCCGGTTGAGGCCGCTCTCATCCCGGAAGTATTGTTCAAACTGCTGGTCGACATAGTCGGTGATCGGCTTCCAACTGTACAGCAGAAGCAAGGAAAACAAAAGCAATTAGTTCCCGGCATCAGCGGTGGCGAAAAATAATTAAATAAATGCAGGCAGTCCTTGACTTATGACCACAACTGAGCCGACAACACTGGAAGTTTTTAAGAAGAGACTGGACAGCCATTTGTCTGAAATGGTATAAGGTTTCCTGCCTGAGCAGGGGGTTGGACTAGATGACCTCCAAGGTCCTTTCCAACTTTACTATTATTATTATTATCATCATCAAAGTTTCTGCTGCTAAGCAAGATAGTTGTTAAGTGAGTTTGGTCCCTTTTTATGACCTTTCGCGCCAGAAGGACGCCAAAGGGGATCACGTGACACACTGCAACCGTCTTAAGTACATGCCAGTTGCCAACCGTCTGAATTTTGATCACGTGATCACGGGGATGAGGCAACGGTTGCGTGAAAAAACGTTCGTTAAGTCACTTGTTTTCGGTGCCATTGTGATTACGAGCGGTCACTAAAGCAAACTGTTGTAAATCACGGACTATCGGTGTGACATTTTTGACTGCACGGACAGGAGACCTCGGACCAATGTAATGGAAGGTCTGGTGGTTGGCCTCCCGGAGGGTGTTAGCTTTGGTTAGTTTTAATCTTGGTTAATGTGGATGCAGATGTGTCTTTCTCGGTCACGCAGAGAGGTTCAGGAGGAGCTCAGAGAACGGATGAGTTGAAATTAAGTGGGTTTTGAGCAACCTCGGTCAAAAGAGGGACTCACCACTCTGAGTTGTTGACAGCATCTCCAAAGCCTGGGGTGTCAACTATGGTCAACTTCAGCTTGACCCCTTTCTCTTCGATGTCCACAGTATGTTTCACAATCTCTACTGTCTGATTTATTCTTTCTTAATAAGATAAGGACGGAGGGAAAAACAACAATGGGAAGTTAGCACCGTGACCTTCTCCAAGTCCCATGATCTTCTCCAAGTGCTAACCACGACTAACCAATTCGTGGGTAGCACCGCGATCTTTCCCAAGTCTCATTCATTACACCAGTGGTTCTCAACCTTTTTAATGCCGCGACCCCAACCGGTCGTAAGTCGAGGACTAAACCGGTCATAAGTCGAGGACTAAACCGGTCGTAAGGCGAGGACTACCCAACCGGTCGTAAGTCGAGGACGTTCCCTGCCCGGGAGCGCCACACATGCGTGGTTCCGCCCCCTGCGCCGGCCGAGGCGTAGCTGGCAAGCGGCAGAGACGGAGCAGGCTGACCACCAGCTGGCCCAGCCCAAGGGAGGTAAGGCACCCGCCGGAAAAGGGGAAAAAAATGGCAGACAGCCTTGCTTGGCGACCCCCATGAAATGGTCGATCGACCCCAAATGGGGTCCCGACCCACAGGTTGAGAACCACTGCATTACACCCAAGCAGGCTTTCAGCTATTCCACGATATAATTTTGGGCCAGGAAAGATCTGGTCTATGACCCAGCTCATTTTGTAAAAATCAGATCCTCGCAGATTACAAAGACACCCACCCACCAGGCTTCGACCAAGAATAAACAGTTAAGATCCACAAGTTGTAAACATTATGGGAATTGCGCTATTGGGTTGATCACAAGGACTAAATAAGATGGGTACCCTCGGCGTTGAGAAGCTTTCGGTCTTTGTAGAGATCTGTCAAGAAGAGGCTGTTCACCAGGGTTGATTTGCCCAGACCAGATTCTCCTGAAAGAACAAAAATCAAGCAATTAAAAAAATAAATAAATCTTGGAACGAGTCTTGAATCTTCAGAAATGGCACAGCAGAACTAACACTATCCTCTCTGTGCCCGATTTTTTTATTTAGAACATTCTGTCCTTGGAGAGCTACAATATTTCAGTCTAATTTTTAATCTTCATTCTCAGTCCTTGTAGAAAAAATTGTATTATATGGATAAAGGAGGATTTGGCGTATTCTGGGCTAGGGGTCCCCAACTTCCGGGCCATGGACCAACACCGGGCCGCAGCATGCCAGCAACTGGTCCACACAAACAAGCAAAGCCCCATCGGCAGGATGCAGGCAGCACGCGAAACCGGCCCCTCTCCGGTCCACAGAAAACCCTCTCCCCACGGAACCGGTCCCTGGTGCTCAAAAGGTTGGGGGGCGCTCTTCTAGGCAAATGCATGCACTCTTCCCCCCCCCCCAAGAAAGGTAAAATACAATCAACATCATCGGAATCAAGGCCAACCACTCAAAATTGCCAGCAGATGTAGGCATTTATCAATCTCTGAATTTCTATTACAGAGGAAGTTGAAAAAGAGGAATCAAACAAGTCCCAGATACAAACAAAATAAATTAACTGATTTACCTATGTAGGGGGGAAACATTAAAAGCAGTATTCAACAAGTCCCAATGCATTTCTGTCAAAAAATGGCCCATAAATTTAGCAAGGGTTAATTTTGTAAAAATAAAAATTGCATTTGTGCACGTGCGTGTGTGTGTCTTTAGTCTGGAAGCATGCAAATATTCTCCTGGGATTTAAAGTTTATCCTGATGAAAATCTGTTTATGCTTGAATTAAACTTGGCCTCTGAGGGAGGG